CTGGCGGTATAGTGGGTTACATGATGGAAACCACGAGCTGCTCTGGGGGAGAAAGATGAAGCTTTGTCCTCCCATAAAGAGTTAGTCTCCCCCAAAAGGTCTACCCTGTCCGACAGGATCCGTATGAGCCAGAATTGACTCCACGACAGTGAGGAGGAGAAGGAAGGCAGCCAGGCTGGTCACTAAGTGTAGAACAAGTATGATCTGGAAAGTACTGAAGGTTTTTTTGTTGGTTTGTTTTTCTGGTCCAGAGTGACTGGAATACAACTGTACCTGAGAGGACTTTAGCGGCATCGCGCATGAGGTCGATTGACATGGGTGAGGCTGAAAGCAGGGCCGAACTTGGAGAAGGTCATAATGATCTACATGAGGACTTGAGACTAAGGGAAATGAAGGACATGAGGGAAGAGCTTAATAAACTTCATAGGCTTAATGAAGCTTAAACTTAATAAAGCTTAATAGGCAAGGGGAAATTTATAAATATGCTTAAAGTGACAAGCATGGGTGGATATTGATGTTTGAGTATATGCAAGAAAAAGAGTATGTATGAGTGCGTACATGTGAGACTGTACGCATATATATGTGAGTGTGTGTGAATGAGTGTTGTGTGTGTGTGTGTAAGCGACAGAGAGAGAGAATGTGTAAGAAAAATACAAAATGGTATTTCGCTGAGTTGTTTGTTTCCATTTTGACATTTTGAGTTGGGATACAAGTAGACAGCCAGTGTGAAGAGTATAGAATTCCTGAGTTGCAAGGAAAGTTAAGTAACAGAACATTCAGCCACATTGCATCCACAGCGCTGTGTGGCAATCATCCGTCTGCTGCACCTCTGTAGTTTGCCACACTACACAATACACCCTATTGTTTTCTCTATGTGAAAATGGAATTCATCTGCTTGTTTTATCTTTAATGGTTCAGAAGTATTTCATATTTTTTATTAAATGACTTTTCATTTTCTTTTATAGACTGGATTTCCTATTTGCCATGTCTTAAAATGCTGTCCCAATGCCTGGCTTATCTTTTATGTATCTTAAATTGTATTGATTTAATTGGTTTATGTTTTACATACTTACTGATTGGATACTATGCCCCCAAATTCTGTCTTCCCTGGAACCTCAGATTGTGATCTTACTTCTATAGGGGGCTTGGGAACTAGTTACAATGGTGTCATATAAGAGCAAGGTAGACCCTCAATCCTAATGACTAGTATAAAAGACACAGAGAGCCTACTATGTAACTGCAGAGGTTGACATCAATGATACATCTGCAAGCCCGGGAACACCAAGGATTGTCAACAACACCAGAAGGTGAGAGAACGGCACAGAACTGATTCCACTGCAGACACTCCGTCCTTAGGTCCTGTCAGCACCTTCCTTAGGCTTTCAGATTCTGGCCTCCAGAACTGTGCAAGAATAGGTTTTCCGCTGTTTTAAACTAACCTGTTTGTGGTTAATTGGTTGTGGCAGTCCTAGGAAACTAATACAATATGTAAACATTTATTCCATCTAGAACTTGTTATTGCAAATAAATGGTGATAAGGTTCCAACTGCATTTTCTTCCAGAAAGATATCCATTTGGGCCAACACCATTTATTAAATAAGTTTCTCTTTCCTATTGAATTAAGTTACCTTCATTGTAAGATATTACATTTCCACTTTTACTGGGATCTATTTTGTGTGTGTGGGGGGGGGTGTTCTCTAACCATTTGATTAAACCATTTGACTCTTCCCATGACTCACAGAAGCAAGACAAAACTATAAAAGCAAGTTGGAGAGCAAGCCTGATGTTCGGCTATGTCTGGAGTCTGTCTTTAGACACAGAGGAAAATAATATAGGACTCAGAAAGATCAGACATGTGTGAGGAATTAATTTTGGTCTGGGGAAATATAGGCAGTTCAGGTAGCATTGAATTTTTTATTCTTGGGGAGGTAATATAGAGGGCTGGCTCGTTTGACACTGAGTGAGAAGTCAGTCAAGGCAGGCAATCAAAGAATATGCTAATGACTTAAACAAGAAAAGCTCCAGCAGTGAGACAAGAAGAGATGAAGAGTCTGGTCCACAAACTCCAACTTTCTGATACTGATACTAATTTCTGTCCCATTCAGGGAACATCTTATACAATCTTTATAGTGGATAGAAGAAATCTCATGATACACGTGAATCACGTAGATGAATGAGTATGTCTGGCAGAGAGAAAGAAGAAAACGATAGCGCTGATAAGCACTATTGAACTACCTAGAGAGGGCAAGTTCACAACACAACTGCATCTTCCCTCTTCCTTCATGCAAGATCCAGGTCTGAATACCTACTGCCATCCAATCAACTCTGCCTCATATCAACCCTACAGGACACGATGGAAATGCCCCAGCAGGTTTCTGAGGTCTGGTCTTTACAAACGCACAACATCACAACCTGCTCCCTGTGAGCGCTGGTGGTTTCCACCCCTGACCTCTTTGGTTAGCGGTTGAGCTTTTTTTTCTTTTCCTTTTTAGCAGTTGAGCTTTGAAGCACTCTACTACCAGGGATCCTTGTATCCAGACAAGTGGCTTTCAAATGCTCTCAGGTACCAGACTCATCTGGGAGATGGGGAGGGGTCTTGTTAAAACACTGATGGCTAGGCCTCATCTCCAGAGTTTCTGATTCCATAGGTCCGGGTTTGTTCTTCGTCATCATCCAGGTGATTCTGGCTCATTGTGAAATTTTACACACTTTTACACATTCACACATGTGTGTAAATGTACGGCAGAACAAAATACTACTCGGTCCTGCTCTACCCTCACCATCATGAGTATGCAAACGTCCATTTTTGAAGTCACTGTGTATTTTGAATATCTTCCAACTTAGAAAGTTTCTCTTTCAGCCTTATGTCAGACAAATTCTGCTGTGATCGATGATGTTTCCATTGATTAATCTTCATAAGTAGATTATCAGGCCTCTCTTTCTAGTCTGCGTTAGTCTGGAAGTGCTGGTGAAACCTGTCTATAGTGGGTGACCAGATTGGAAATACTGGTGGCAGAGCTTCCAGCCAGTAATGTGAGGGCCACCATAGCATGGCAAAGTGGCAGATGGGTAGTGATTCAGTTGACTAGGGGTAGAATAGTTTGCATTTCTAACACATTCCCAGGTCGGGCTGATACTGTTGGTACAGGGAGCACATTTTGAAAACCACTGCTCTATAGCTTAGCACCAAAATGACCAATAACCCTTGAGAGGTTTAAATTTTATAGAAGAACTCTTCATGAAGTCTTCTCTCGTCCCCTCAAGCAAAGTTGATTCTCTCCTTCGTCTCAGGCATAAAGTAACACTTGAGTCACATCTTAAAGGATGCGTTTAAAGGTAGAAGCCCTAGGAAGGAGCTAGAGCAGCAGTTCTCAACCTGTGGGTGGCGACCCCTTTGAGGATCCAATGACCCTTTCACAGGTGTTGCCTAAGACCATCGGAAAACACATATTTCCAATAGTCTTAGGAACCGAGACACCACTCCTCTGTCTGTCTCCAAGCTGGTCCACCCACATGCAACTACACCCACTTACGAGTATCCAGTGTGAAGACGGTTATCCATGCTACACCATGCCTCAAGACAAAATTTCATTAATCTGTAATTAGAAATAAATATTTCGCAATATATAATTTCATATTGTTTTTGTGATCAATCACTATGCTTTAATTATGTTCTATTTGTAACGATGAAAATACATCCTGCACATCAGATATTTACATTACAATTCATAACAGTAGCAAAATTACAGTTATGAAGTAGCAACAAAAATAATGGCTGGGGGTCACCACAACATGCGGAACTGTATTAAAGGGTTGCGGCATTAGGAAAGTTGAGAACCACTGAGCTAGAGAGATGGGTGTGGAGGTGTAAGGGAATCACAAATCTGCCAATAATTTTATTTAGTAAAGGAAGAATTCGCTAAATGGTTAGAGATACAACTGTAGAGGAAGGCAACAATCGAACTCACCATGGGCCTTGTAAGTCACACCAAAGAAACATGGGCAAGGTTTCCTGGTTAACGAAACTGATTATGGTATGTACATATAGAAATTTATATTCAAAATATGGCTCACACAGTTGTGGAAAAGGGGGTGTTCTAAGTGTATAGGTCAGAAGTCAGGCTGGAGGTTTTTCTTGGCTCATGTAGCTGCATGGGCTGATGAATCCAAAATCAAGAAGTCCATCGAGAGGTTGTGGCTATTGAGTCAAATGAACCCAAGGTCAAGCTGGTGGTTAACAGAAGTGAGTGAATCCAGAGCCAGTAGTCAATATGGTAGAGCATTGGCTTAAGTCCAAAGAGCCAGAGATTGAAGAGCCAGCTATAAGATCCAGGCTGAGCAAAAAGCAGGCAAGCTTTCCCACAGCAACTATTTCTATTGGAAGCAGGCCACATCCTCAAGATTATCTCATCATGAAGGATTAGTAGGTCTTAACTTCCAAGCCACTGATAATCCTGGTGCAGTCAAGTTGACAATAAAAACCTTAACTATCACAAGATAATAAGAACTTTTGGAACAAGATAATGGAGATGTTTGTTTAACATAGTGATGTAATTCACATCACTAAATTATATAGTTAAAATAGAAAAATTATATAATATATATTTTACCATAAGAATTTTTGTTTCAGAACTTTATACAAATTTCACATGTTCCTAAAACGCCGTGCTTATATTTCTTATAATTTTATAATATATGGTAGTTATACATGAGTTGAATTGAACCTGGGCTCACTCATGGATGACAAGAATTCGACCGCTGAACTACCACTTCTGGCCCCATTTTCAATGGTTACCAAGACATTAAAGCTCAGAAAACACCACACTAGAAGAGAGATGAAGAAGAAATTACCCTTTGCCCTACAGTCACTTCCAACTCATGGCCTCCCCGTGTGCTGCTGCCAAGTAGAACGACCCCATAGGGTTGTGCTGTTCTTTTATTGTAGTTTTGTTTGGTTTGGTTTTATTGTACTTTTAATAGAAGCACATTAAACAGGTCTTCCTTCCGTGGGGTGGGCTCAAACTGCTAACCTTTAGGTTAGTAGTCAAGTGCAAGTCATTTGTGTCACTCAGGGACCTTTAAGAAGTGGTCCATGGGACTCAATAGAATTTTGTGTCTGGAAAAGTGTGTGTGAAGCAATCATACAGTGATGGAATTCAAATAATTTAACAACCAGTTCACGATCCTAATGACAATAAAGTATAAATAATAACATGTATAATAAATAATAAAGTATAAAAAAGATATACCCAAAGGTAGTGTATTATTTCATACAGTTAATACTTAAGAACAAT